CCAGGGCAGCCTGACGCCCAGCTTGGACACCATGGCTGTCCTGACCACTGTCCAGGGGCATGGAGCTGGCACTGGGCCCCTGTCTTCTTGGCCAGGTGTGAAGCAGAAGCTCTAACAAGGAGGATGCTGTCTAGCCTGCTGCAACGGGTGTTTGCAGCTGCTTGGAGGGCAGTGGAGGGCACCTTGGGTCGCTACTCCCACCCTTCTATTTCCTGGCTTCTGTGCACAGTGGGAGCCCCGGCCTTGGAGACTGAAGGGTGCCCCTGCTCGGCTACCCTACTTCCTAGGACCCCTTCCTTTCTCCTCCTTGCCAGGCCCTCATCTCAGTCTCAGGTTGGAGCTGACTGCTGTTTGCTCCTATCTGCCCCCAGCCCCCAGGCTTGTCCTTCTGAGTGCTCAGGGCTCTGGAGCAACTGGCCCAGACTCTGCTTCCTGGCTGGGCTGGGAACGTAGTTCAGCAGAGGTGGGGTCAGCTGTGTGCATGGACATAGTGGGAAGTATCTATGGAAGGGCTGGATGAAGAAGACCATCCTGTCACCCTTGTCACCTCTGGCACCTGCTGTCATCACCAACCCATGACAAGCACCCCACAAGTGCTGGAAGTGAGCAGAGATCAAACCGAGTGTTTGGCGACGCAGTGGCTGGTTTCTGGTATTCAGGCTGGGCCAGGCCTTCCTGCTGAGCCTCACCTCTGGTCACTGTGTGAGCTTCCTCTGAGACCCTTGGGCTTGTCCTTTGCTAGCATCCCTCTCTCCAAGACCACCCTCCGCTGTGACAGGTTTTAGTTTCAGACCTGCATTCACTCACTCCATGCTTCTTTCTTCCGTGCTTTCATCTGTCACCAGCCCTGTGTGCAGGGGCCTGTGGGAAGCCACACCTTCTTCTCTCCGGAGGCTTCCACGGGCTCCTGCTAGTGATCCCTCCATCCGAGCAAACCAGATGCTTGCCCACCTGAGCCCCTGCTCACACCTTGGCTGGGTTTCTTGCATCTGATGTGACTTGCGTGTCTCTTGCATCTCTTTGGGCTCAGAGACCTTGACATCTCTGCCTGGCCAGGTTGTCCCTTTGCCCCTGCAAGGCCAATGTTTGGGGAGCTGCTGAACCCCTGTTCAGAGGGTATGAGTTCCTCCATGTGGGTCCTAACCAGGCTGGGGTTGAAGGGAGGCAAACCAGGCACTAAGTGGGGGTTTGGCCTCTTCTGGGGGCGCTGCCTGGGGTCCCCCCGTCCACGGAATCACACTTCACATCCACGCGCCTGTCCTCTCCTCCAGGCTCCGCACTTGGAAGGAGCCCTGTTTCCCGTCTGCACACGGCCCTCTCCCGCAGGCCCTCCTCCTGCACACTCCAGGCCCGATTTTTCCAGGCCTCTAATCAGTTTCCGTGCCTTGATCTGGGTCCTCCGTGTCCCTTTACCGTGTGGCACTCTGATTTGATGCAGTTGTCCCCTGCTGGCCCGGAAGCCTCCTGGGCCGCAGGACCCAGGCATCCTCCTTCCGGGCTTTGCCTCCACGGCTCCCGGGCCTTGCCCAGACCCTTCCCCACTCCCCCTGGCTCCCCTCTTTATCTGCGGCTCCCAGCATGTACACCTCCCTCTATCAGTGTATCGGGCAGGCATGCCTCATCTAAAGTGTATATATTACCTAATAAAATCCTTCTTATTTGGGATTATTGCATCAAATTTTAATTTCCTCACTCGAGCAGCAGCATGTCGGCCTGCCCGTCAGTGGAGGACCGATAGAAGGTGAAAGGAGCGGATAAACTGCACAAATTACTGCCAGCCGATGCCTATCAGCCCTTTGACTGGAATTGACTGGAATTAAGGACTGAGAAATAGGATTTTCTGCCTCAGAATCTGCTGCGGCAGCTCTGGTCGGAAGTCCCCGCCAGCCCCGCCAGCCAGCTCCCCCCAAGGGCGCCTCCCACTCCCAAAGCAAACTGCTCGTCACCTTTCAAGTCCTTAATCCTGTCTTGGAAGTGGCAGTGGGCTGGGGCTCCAGGGGAGCTGGGGAAGGCGGCCAGGCCTCTGAGGCCAGACGCGGCTCCTTGAGCCAACTCTCCTGCAGAGGCGGAGGGAGGGGACGCAGCACAAAGGGGAAAGAAAAGTCCCAGCTCTGCCTTCACTGCCCACCTCGGCCTGTGCATGTCCCCTGGACACAGAGTCCCCTGCCCTTCCACCTACGCCAGGCAGCAATGGGCCAGCCCGAGCCGGACCCTCTGTCCCTGCCCATCTGAGGCCGGAGTCCCCTGCTGTGGCGCAGAGAGAACCCGTGTGACCTGCTCCACAGTGAGGGGAAGAGAGAGAGGACGCTGGCCGGTGCTCAGCCCTGCGCAGGCGCTCAGGTGATACCCGTTTTCGCCGTCGGCCGCTGGCTGTTGGGATAACGCGTAGAAAACACCAGAGCTCGAGGGTGGAGAGCCGTAATCTGGGATGTCGGGGTCCGAATTTGCTGAAATCAGAAACAGGACGTGTGTCCATTGTCCAGGACCAGGCACCTGGATCTCCACCAGGTACCCACAGGGATTCCAGACCCCAGTTTGTAGTCCCAATCACTTTTGTCACCTTTGCGACGTATGAGTGCTTTACATACGAAGGGATTGCTTAGGAGCAGGGACTATTATGAACCCATTTTATAGATGGGAAAAGGGTCGCAAGAGGTTAAAATTGATGCAGAGGATTCAGTCACAGGAGGTCAGGCACCGGGTTGAACACAACCACCTGCCCCACGTCTCGAGGAGCCGGGGCCCCATGGGTCTGCACACCTGTCGCCTCTCCAGGGAGAGCCTCGTTTCTGAGAAGGCCTCGTCCTCCCCCCGGTGTGGGTTCCAGGGAGGGCAAGAAGCTCCTCGGCAGGTGGGGCTGGACCTGGCCTGCCCACCTGCTCTACCAGCCATGCCCAGCTGCTTTGGGCAGAGTGGCCTTCAAGCAGACTGGCCGGCCAGGCGGGGCTCACTTGCCCGTTCCCTCATCTTTGGAAATAAGTTGCAGTATATTGAAAATATAATCACCGAGACTCTGAAACAAGAGCCGTGAGTTCCCGAGAGCCCCCGGACCTCCCTGTTAATTCCTTCTCATAACATTTCCAGTCTTTCTGTCTGCACTTGTATTAAAAGCTCAGGGTTTTATTAAAAGTGGATTTATTTACCCAAAAAAGAGATGAAACCCCAGACCTTGTCAGGAGCCAGGCTGGGAGGGAGCGTCCCTGGCCTCCTATCCGGCAGAGCTGGCTGGCTGCTCCCAGCTCCACCCACCTTGGAGGACTCTGGCCATCTGGGGCAGGACTGCCCCCAGGGGAGGTGCCCACAGGGCTCTGAATATTGAAAGTCCTTGGGTCACCAGGTCCCCTCTTTGCCCAGGCCAGTGCTGGCTGCCTCATCCTGTCCCCTTTGGGCTCACTGTCCTAGGTGCTGCTCCTGCCTGCCCTGGGTGTACACTGGGGTCACGCAGCTGCCCCTCCAGCTGGGAGGGTGGAGCTGGGAGCAGCCAGCCAGCTTAGTGCCTGGCAGGCCAGGGACCCTCATGCCAGGACACCTGTGGGGCCTGGGTAGGATGGGGCTGCATCCGAGGAGCTGCCCCCATGTCCAAAAAGCACAATTGGCAGCTGGCGCCTCAGGCCAGCGTCCTGCACCCTCAGGAGCTCCTCGGGGAGACAGACCCCGACTTTTGGGGGCAGATCCCCCCAAAAGAGTCTGGGGGTGTGAACCCTTCAAGTGAAATGCTGTCCTTCCCAAACAGCCTTGTCCCAGCAGCCCACTAACTTGCCTCATGAAGGACACCCCAGTCTCAGAGAGCGAGCTGGAGAACGGCCCCGGCAGCTCCTCGGAGCCCGGGTGCAGCCTTTCCCCAGTTCCACGGGAGCTGATGCTTGTAAAGTGCACAGAGCAATGACTTTTACAAATGATATTATTGTTATTATAACGGAACCTGTCACAGAGGTAGCGTCACCTGACTAGCAAGAGCACTTTGGAGCCAAAGTCCCTGTTTTAGTCAGCTTTTTCATTGCTGTGACCAAAGGACCTGACAAGAACAATTTTAGAAGAGGAAACGTTTATTCGGGCCTCACGATTTCAGAGGGCTCAGTCCATAGACCCCCGGCCCCACTGCGCTGGGCCTAAGTGAGGCAGGACATCATGGTGGAAGGGT